CTTGCTGGGCCTCAGTTTGGATTGAATCTTGTTCTCAATGTCAGTGTATCAGAATATTTAAGGCTGGGCAGCTCTAATGTGGGAGTTAAAGTATCAGTTCATGATAGAAATTCTATGCCAGTCCCTCAAGTTGGAGTAACTCTTTCTCCAGGAACAAATTCTTATCTGGCTATTGAAACAGTAAAGCATGTTGATAAGACCAGAGAATCAAACTGTGTTAGACATAACAGATCTCTTGCTTTCTTCCCAGGGTATTCTTATGCTGCTTCTACTTGTCGTATTAATGCTGAGTATAGAAATTATGCTGATGCTAATAAGTGTGGTTGCTCTCCTGAAGTTAATCCTTCATCAAATGTTAACACTCGTAATTGCACAATAGCTGATATCTGCTGTCTCTCTCAAGAAAGACGTACATTCAATCCATCAACAAACTGTCCTTTATCCTGTGATCACCTCACCTACAATGTCGAGCAAAGTTATTCCAAATTATTTTCAAGTGCCTCATCTGAAAGTGCAGCAGAATCTCTTGGCAAAACCGTTGAAGCTAGTTTGCTGTCAGTTTATATCCATTTTGATGACATTCTTATCACTCAACTACTTACGAGGTATTCTTATACAATTGCTAATTTAATAGCAGATATGGGAAGTCTGTTTGGTTTATTACTAATGAACTTGCTAATTGTTTCAATAATGAGAAGAGCTGTCAAAAAACTTGAAAGTAAGATCATGGCTCTTCCTGAAGTAAATCTGGATGGACCAATAGACGATGCATGATTAAACTTTCATGTAATCCCTTTTGCAGATTAGATTTAGAACTGACAATATTAGTAGATCTCTTCTTTTTATCAGTTGTACAGTAGGTACAAGCTGAATTAAAATTATTTTAAAATAATTTTAAATGGTAGATAATTAAATTTCTTTGAAATGAAAAACTATGCCAAAATAATAATAATAATAGTGTGCACGAGAATCTAACTGCTATTCATGATGTGTTACTATGGAGATAACTAATTAAATAGCAACAACAACAACCTAAACACAACATCACAACACAACAAATAAAACTGAAAAAAAAATAATAACTCCCTATTCACTATAATATTTTTTAAAAGTTTTTGTGCATTAAATAAAATGAGACACTAACAGTAGTAGTAGAAGAAATAATTTAGAGAAAAAGAAAAAAAGACTGCAATTGTGTCTTTATTGCTCTTTTGGCTTGGCAACCGATGGTGGAGTTTTACCTAGAAAAAATTTTTGTTATATTTCAGCATGTCATAATCAGGGTTTCACACAGTGCTACTCTTGTTAGCAATTCTTTACAAAATAACAAGAGTTTGACAAAATCTTTAACTGACAAAAAAATCGGAGCAATACAGTACATGTACATGTACATGTATAGACGGGAAAGGAAATCACTGCAGCCACTTACTAAATGATCTCGAGACAGCTTTAAGAACCTCATCTAGTAAAATAACCGGTAGAGAGAACTTGAGTACGGCAAACCACTCAGCGGCTGAGAGGGGAGTTATCTGGAATACCGTCTGCTAAAAGAGAGCCCAAAACAGGCAAAATCAGTTAGGGATAACAAAATCAATACAACAAAACAGGACAGCGATCAGAAATTGGACAAATCCTTTGAAGTGCTTGCATGAGTAATAGCAGAGAGGAGGAGGAGGGAGAGACCGAGAGAGCAAATACATTAAGAGAGAACCTCTTCAATATACTGCTCCCTATACAGTTACTATGAATGCCTAACCCTCTAACCTCCACTGCAGTATCACCATACCAAGACACTTCTCATTGAATGGATTGATTGATCATCACATCACTGTCATACGTACATGTACATGTATACCAGAAGTGCATTACAGCACTCATTTAGCAATACTTATAAGAAATATACATGTACTTACCATTACAATATTTTCATTTTTAAAGGAATTAAATAATGATGACCATACGCGTATGTAAATTAACTAGCTGCTCTTTAATTTGAACACATGCAAGCTCCAGGTTCTCCTATACTTCATAGAGGCTTATATTTAATTAGTGCATGATTGAGATACTAATTGGCACCTTCAACCATTTCATGATCCCATTTTACACCATCTACTCTTGATAGGTATATACTTACAGCCAGTAGTGGTGTGTATAGAATGATGACGTGTTGTGCCATTGAGAGGCAAATGGCACCAATGAGCCACTTGTTCCTCCATGGAGGCATTACAAGGAGACTCTGATTTTCACTCAAACTACAAAATAAAAAAAGATAATACATGAAAAAGGTAAAAAAGGAAGTTACATAATGAAAAAAAAGAGACTATTTGTGCTAATAATAGTAGCACATACATGTTAGTACATACTGAATGTATTACTCTTGCTTTAAGCAAAACCACTCTTACAATATAAGTTGAACAAAAGCTAATGATATCAGAAATATAAAAATGATGCACGTACATGTAACTTTCTATATGCATGCATTTTTTTAGAAAGGAAATTGAAAACTTTCTACTAATGTAGTTATTAATGTGTTGCTGCAGTTACTCTTCTCCTTATTATTACAGCATTACCTGTTCAGTGCATTCAGCATTTCAATGGTTACTAGTACAGAGAGGGCCATAGTCATTGGATGGAGGCTCTCAAACACGTCACAATCAATACCAAGGAAATCAGGATTAGTGGGAGAACACTTTGTGAAATGAGTCTGGAGGAGGAGGAGGAGGAGGAGGAGGAGGAGAAGAGAGAGAGAGAGAGAGAGAGAGAGAGAGAGAGAGAGAGAGAGAGAGAGAGAAAGAGAGAGAGAAGAACAAGAAATACAGGCCGGGTAAGATAGAAAAGGAAGAAGTCATAAAAATATGAAATACATGTACATGTACATCGTTAAAAAAATAAAGAGATACCTACCATTTGATAATATGTAACTTGAGGGCCTCCTTCATAATACATGAACCACCAGGCAGCACCGTATACAGTAGCAATACCAACATAACCTAATGTACAATATGATGTATATGAACATGAACAATAAGTAACTTTTAAAATTCATAAAAAATCCAATTTTGATTGGAATCAGCTCAAACTTGCTACACAACATAAAAACATGTAAATGTATCAGAAAAAATTATAAAAATGGAGAATTCTTTCCTTTTGATTTTTGGCGAAATTTTGGCCAAAACCCCTGTACTATAGTACAGGAACTTTGGCCCAATTTTTGAGTAACTTTAAAAATTCGTAAAAAATCTAATCTTGGTCGAAATCAGCTCAAACTTGCTACACAACATAAAAACATGTATATGTATCAGAAAAAAATTATAAAAATGGAGAATTCTTTCCTTGTCATTTTTGGCAAAATTTGGATCGAGACCCTGTACTATAGTACAGCGATTTTGGCCCAATTTTTGAGTAACTTTAAAAATTCGTAAAAAATCTAATCTTGGTCAGAATTAGCTCAAACTTGCTACACAATATAAAAACATGTATATGTATCAGAAAATATTATTAAAATTGAGAATTCTTTTCTTGTCATTTTTGGCGAAATTTGGGTCAAGACCCTGTACTATAGTACAGGGGCTTTGGCCCAATTTTTGAGTAACTTTAAAAATTTGTAAAAAATCTAATCTTGGTCGAAATCAGCTCAAACTTGCTACACAACATAAAAACATGTATATGTATCAGAAAATATTATTAAAATTGAGGATTCTTTCCTTGTCATTTTTGGCAAAATTTGGCTTGAAACCCTGTACTATGTACAGGGACTTTGGGCCAATTTTTGAGTAACTTTAATAAATGGGCCCACATGTAAGTCAAGTCGGAATCAACTTAAACTTTCTACACAGCATAAAGACATCAAAATAAATCAAATAACTATAAGGTGCTTTGTTTTCAAACCAATTTCTTAATTACACACCTCCAATGGCTAAATAGCGAAAGAAAAGCCAGCCAGAGATGAGAGGGTCTTTCCCAGAGCGAGGAGGTTTAGTCATAATGTCAACATCAGGTGGGTTGAAACCAAGAGCAGTCGCTGGTAGACCGTCAGTGACTAGATTGACCCACAATAACTGAACTGGGATAAGAGCCTCGGGCATACCAAGAGCAGCTGTCAGAAATATACTAGAAAAATAAATTAAAAAGAAAGTAAATGTATTTAAATTAAGAAAAAGAAAGAATTTAAATTTTAAAAATTGTGAATTTAATACTTGTTAAGTAAAAGTCTGTGTAACCATGCAAGAATTTTATATTATATATGTACGTGTAAACTCAAATTTGTTTGCCTTAAAAGCGATTCTAAATACTGCCATCAGAAACCAATTATCATCCTTCAGCCTGTCACCCAGAGAGAGAGAATGAGTGAGTAGGAATAATATGTATTATAAAGTGAGTGTATTAAGTTGAGTGAGAGAAAACCTCTCAAACAGAAACACACACACACACGCACACACACACATATTGAGAGATACTACTAAGTCATGTAATGTACACACATGTATCACATGTAATACACATGTATTGCATGTGCACATTAGTACATGAGTTAGTGTATCTTCCTAATCACAACAAACTCAGTGAGTAACAGATCCATAAGAGAATGGATTGAGAGTTCATCATTAGGCATTCTCTCTCTCTCTCTCTCT